TGCATATCCAGTGCACACTTTATTTAGAACAAAATGTATGCAATGTTTATATTTCATTCATTATTTCTAATCAATCTCGTAAATAATTTGTGAATTTTTTAACTTTGTTTTCACTCTTCATTTATATTCGCGTATTTTCGTATTAGAAATTAGAAAAGCGAGAACAAAATTTAACAAAATATAGTAAATACAGACTAGATCTGTAAGTCTGCAGGCCGGAATGCGATTTTTAATAACATATTTTCATTAAAATAATGGTAATGACTAATTTAATGATGAAATAATAATAATTATATTATTACCATTAGATGATTAGAATGAGATTCAATACAAATTAGATTTTGAGATGAACTTACAGCAATAATAAAGCTTTACATAACAATAACAGAGATTTAAATCTGCTTTTTTCGATAATTTTGTTATTATAATATAAAAAATCAAAATCCGAGATACATTGGTTGCGTTTAATAATTAATTTTAACAAATATTACATTGGACTATCAGGCAAAGAAGGTATATCTTTAACGAGAATTTTTCTTTGTAAAATTGGCTTTTGTTTATGTTAGCCGAGAAAAAAATTCGTGACTTATACATGCAATCATCAAAAGAATTTTGAGAACAGTTTTAAATGTTCATGAAGAATTAATTATACGTCAATTTCTTTCCATAGGTAGAAATTTCGTCTAAAACTATCGTTATATCCAAAAGTTGAAGTCTATTTCATTTTCAACGAATATTCTATTTGCACATAATATATTTTCTAATTTATTTTAGAAAGAGTAATCTTTCACGTTTTCAAAAGAATAAGGAAATATTGGGTGTTGATACCATGTAGTAAATTTGTTTTTTATATTTCTTCCAGTAATGAAAACGATTACCCTGCAATATTTTCAAAGCAAAATTAAGAAAACCGTTTACGCCAAATTTTGCATAAAGTATCTTCTCGTGTATTTTTTATTTAAAGTGTGGAATTTTCTCTTTGAAAATATCAAAAATCATGAAGAGCAAAATTAATTCATGAGAAATAACTTTGAAATGCAATAATTCCATTGTAATATGACATAGTGGATAAAAGTGCAATACAGTTTATTTATTCACAAATAATCCCCCTCATATGCGTAATTTATGTACTGTCGATTGAGAAATATAGGTTAGTAAATTAAACCGGTTAATTCAATACTTTTCCTTTATCAATATTTTTACCTGCTCTTCAGTAAAGCGGTAAAGGTGGCTGAACACTTATAGCTCGCTTGGATTTGAATCCCGGATAAATAGTTGGATTCATGGTTTTTGTGTAACGTAAATGCAAGCCAGCTTCTCTTAGAAAGTCCTCCGCGAAGACATAACTCCCCTTATACAGGTAATCGTTGGGTGCTTTGATGTAATTCAGTAAGCGAACAAAATTAATCCAATCAATACCGAAGAACGGGTTGATTACATGTGGAGTTTTCCACCAGGAATGTAAATGCGAGCAATTTTCTCTTAAAAAGGTTTACACGAAAGCATCCATTCCCTTAAGCAGATAGCGTTCGCGTGCTTTTCCGTAATCCAATCCTAATTTTCATACATTTAGTAGTAAGTTGACATACACCTTATTACAGACAAAATAACAACTTTTTTAAAGATATTTTTTTTTATCAACTTGTCTGAATTCTCTCTATCTCTTGAAGAGTATAAGAATTTCAGCAAATAAAACTGGCCAAAATTTTATAACATTTAACTGATGTTTTGATTCAGTTTAGAAGTAACGTGAGCTTTACTGATATTTAAATATTTTTTGGCAGATCTCATCCTAAAAGAGGGTGTAAAGATAAATTGATTTTATTTAATTTACAATCAATGAAAATCATTGAAAGCAATCACTGAATGAATGAAAATCAGAAAAACTATTATGCATACAATTGTCTCTTATTTATCTCCTGATAAATCAGACAAAATTGCCTGCATAATAGAAGCACTTTGAAAGAGTTGACAGTTCTTAAGGGTTTTATGCACTCCACAAAACAATGTCAAAATAAAATCTTATTATTCATAAGTATGAAAAGGAAAGTAAACGATAAAAACGGTTTTACCTATTTTCTAGAAGGGCATTAAATCTAAAATATTAATCTATTCTTATTTGTTATGATTAAAGAACATTAAATATGGTAAGCTTAAAGAGCGTGCAAAATCGCTGACGTTTTTTAATCATAGCAAAAGTCAGTAGCAAATTATGAAAATTAGAGATGGCCTCTATTTAATTTTCAAGTATATTGGCGCGAGACGAAACCTGCGGTTTTTGCCAAAATGTAGCTAAACTGATAAGAAGAGGGAAATAATGCGTAGCCAGCGGCTACTCTGAGCAGCGACAATGGACCACCCAAAGATCTACAGATAGGCGATTCTCTAAAATGGGGAGGGCATGGATGGTACGACAGTTGTACCAAGCCGGCGTTCAGGAAGTCATTTTCCTTGTACAACTGCTGTACCAGCCGGCTTCAGAAGTTAATAGTGACTGAATGTAGATAATTTAATTTGTCACACTTCTCTTATTCTAACTTTTGTTTAAAAACTTCGGATCACATGCATGTTTTTTGAAAATTAAAGACACAAATTTTTTAAAAAATTATGTTTAAAATTTGATGCTGAATTCAAAATCGTTTATTTATCTAATAAACCTATGAGATCAAAGCTGAAATATACCTTACTTGTTCTTACTAACTTCTGCTTAATGAATTATTCTTAGGAACGAACCTTAAAAACTGGTGAAACATTTCATGCAAAGAAAACAATGATATTAGAAATTCTATTCTATATGTATATGTTTTTAATTACATTATTTTGATTGACTCTGTTCTATATACATATCGGGTTTTAATTCAGACGGAGCCCAAAATGAAATGTGTTCCGCTACTTAGATGTATTGTTCAATTATTTGTTATTAATTTATTTTTATTTTATCTTTATTCAAGAATATGCTTTGTGCAGCTGAAGAAAAAAGGGAAAAAATAGTAATTTTAATGTAGCATATATTTCGGTGCGGGTTTTTGTCAGTGTGGGCTTTTATCAACGTGTGCTTATATCTATGTGGGTTTTTATCAATGTGGGCTTTTATCAATGTGCGCTTTCATCGGTGTGGGTATTAGTCACATGGGCAATAACCCCAGTGGGGTCTTTTTTGTGGGCTTTTGTCACATGTGCTTTCGTCCAGTGGGCTTTTGTCTGGTCACCATCTCTTGCGCACCACATTGTCAATCACCAACTTTGCATATTTCCAGCACTGACCTATGCACAGAAGTGCAATTTTGTGTTAAATTATATTTAATTAACATAAATAATTATAGCAGTGGGCACTGGTTGCAACATTAATTTAGTAAGCATATTTTTTCTCATTACTCTAATTTTGATGACCTGTGCATAACATTTTGTCTGAATGCTTGCATGTTTGTAAGACGTTTTTTATGAATTTTTGTCCCCTAGCCTACAGCATTCTTACACAATAAGTCTGCACATAATAAGAAAAGTTCCCAATGTTTTTTAATAAGATGGAAAACTATTTTTCAACTAAAAAAAAAAAAATGTGACATCTATGGATAAGCAGTACTCCCCCAATTACAATTTTAATATTATAAGAAAGCATTTAAAATAAAATCCTACATAATTTACACTAATTACACTTAATTTAATTCACATAAATGAAAAAATATAGAGTTTACCTAAAATTTAACTTTATTTATTAGGTATTAAAACAATAACATGTTACTGAAGCATTACTTACAATATTTTAAAATTCAAAAGATATTGGCTAATGTGTTACAGAAGGCATTGCTTGTTTAGTTATTAATAAATAAACAAAAATATAATCCATTAGTAAAATGTATGCAATATATTTTCTTGTACCTCACCCTTGGTTCTTTTAGCTATTGAAATTCTGTTTCAGAACTTTATCTGTGAGATATGACGAAAGTTATACCAAGCAAGATTTCATGCTTGGTACAATTGTTAAGTGTGCTTAGTTCAATGGTCAGATGAATAAGGTTTCATGCTTGGTGCTGTCTGTCCACCAAGAATTGTTTTTCTCCTTCCTGGCTCAACAAAGCATGTTTAAAGCAAAGCATGTTTAAGCATTTGCATGCTGCCATTCTTTATCTAGAAAACACTCATACACTTGTGATTTATTTAAAGCATCCTCTTTAAAAGTTTGCTGAGTCTTGGAAATTGTTTCAAATCCAGTTTTCTTCAATTAAAAAATAATATACTTCTTTTTCCTTACGATAATACATCACAAAATTACAGGACACCATGAGCAAGAGCACATACAGATGAGCACAAACAATAAATCCCTCTACACAGGTTAATGGTACCTAACAAACAGGCATTAAAATGCCTAAGCTTACAAGGTTTGAAGTTAAAATGATTATGGCAAAGCACACTACAGTTATTGGCCTAAGATGAGGGATGCCTTTGTAAAGGGCTTTCTAAGGAAAACTATCTCGTATAGAAGGGGGAAATCATAAAAAAACATTCATAGAGACAGCCCGTTTGTCTGGAATCAAGCCCAGGTCAGAACTATTATTGTTAGGCAATTTTACTGCTCAGTCATTTGTTGGCTCTAAACTCAAGGCCTAGCAACATTATCCAGGATCAAGAAAGCTCTTACACAGTGCTGACTTTCTAGTTATTTTTATGTAGCCCTACATAACAAGAAAATATAATCAATAATTAAGACATAGCAACAGTGCAATGAGCAAAATGTTCTTTTTATTTGTGTATGATATGAATACAGCTAATTTAGAACAATAACCTGCATTTCAGATATTAACCACATAATCTGCAAAATTACTGATAATAGGATTTAAGTGCACTTATGAGTATGAAAAGCTAAATCACACAATTGTCTATTTTTTAAATTAATACACACTGCACTGATAAATTTAAACAGTAATGAAAGACAGTGAAAGTGGTCAATACTTTTTAACATTTGAAACATAATATTAAGAAAAAACTGATTTAAAATTTACCATCAAAGCGATGAGTATGAGTTTCAAAAATATCTTTCAATTCACCAATAGTACTATGCAAAAGTTTATCAAACTCAGCTCTACTGTGAGTACTCAACTTATGTTCCATTTCTTCAGTGCAACAAGTAAGTCCTCTTTCACATATCCTTAAATGTTCACCTATAAAATAATAAATGAAATTTTAAAAATAATAATACACAGAGGTAAAACATAATTTAGGCACAGTAATCATACTAGATTACAATGACATTAATGTCCAGTTTATTATTTACTTTCTCTATAAATTCCATTTCCTAATCTCTACATTAAAAAAAAAAAAGTAAAATAAAGTATATGGTATCATCTAACTTCAAGAAATGTCTTAACAGCTTAAAAATACATATTAATATTTGCACTTCACATAAAGTATTTTAAATAATTATAATGGCTATCCAAATGTCTTTCATCAGCACGCACAATATTTCACATTTTATTACTGAGTTACGGAAAATTGATTCATATATGTAACTTTTTTCTAATTCCAGAAGCAGCATAATACCATATACAGTACAAAGTCCGTAATTCGGACGACCATTATCCGGAATGATCTATAATCCAGACCTCAAAGCCACAAACTCAAAGCCGCATTTGATGCGTGCGTCTGCTACGCATGCGTGTAAAGCGTTTACACATGCACGCTTCCGATAGTGAAAAAAGTGACAGAGAGGTTACTGAAAACGAAAAAATTTCGATTGACAAGTTAGTTGGTGTTCTTGACACAGCAATTACAGGATTTGAACAGTGGAACTTTGTAACTGAACAAGAAATTATGTCTGTTTATGGAAGAGATAATTAAAGAGAAAGTATTAGCACAAAAAGCGAAGCAACTTAAACAACTTACATTGAAAGAAATGTTTAATAAAGTAAACAAATAAATATTAGGATTTTTTTGGTAAATTTTGATACCCTCAGATCTTGTTGTGGAAATACCGTTTATCGTGCAGGAAGATCATTCAGCTTCAGAACCACTAATAAGGAATAAGGATATGTCTCCGTATGACTTCAGCTTTCATAGTATTAGGAATTTCATTATGCAGTTTTCCTGTTAGACATTTCAATGAAGGAATGAATACCATTTTTTAAGCCTTTACATGAAACTGAATTTTTTTATTTCATGAACATGTTCCTTCTTCCATGTTCAACAACTCTCAATAACAAACATTAAAATTCTCTTTTACTTCTCCATCATAAAGTTCTTTACCATTTTAAATTTTTATTTTACAGTACAAAGTCTGTAATCCGGACGTCCATTATCCAGAATGATCTATAATCCGGACCTCAAAGACACAAACTTTTTTTTGTATGCTTTACGCATGCGCATAATGCGTGTTTAATGTATAATGGACGGTATAAGCTAGGCTAAAATTATCTATTTCAGTTAATGTTGCAGATTGCATCGTTCCTTAATCTTCTAATCGGATCCGGCTTATTATTTTTTACAGACTGTTAGAGCAATTTTATAAAAAGTAAGCTTGAACTTTTGATTGTGTCAAAAAGAGTTTCCAATTCTGGAGCTGCCAAAGGATCTACAAAGCGAAAGCATGTTTCAATGTCCATCAAACAAAAAGTGGAATTGCTGCAAAAAATGGATAAAGGCATATCCGTCTCAAAATTATGCGAGGAGTATGACATTGGAAAGTCAACTGTATATGACATAAGCAAAGAGAAAAAGGAACTTTTTGAATTTTTTGTGGATTCCGACCCCCACTTGCAATGAATAATAGAAAAATGGTTCGGTATGCTAAAAGTGACGATCATGACAAAGTGATGATTGAATGTGTCAGACAGAGTCGCAACGAGGGCGTGCCATTGACGGTTCCAATGCTAATGGCTCAAGCCAAAATATTTCATGAAGAAATGACCTTAAACACTTGAGTACACATATTCAACAGGTTGGTTAACCAAATTTAAAAATCGCAATGGTATAATACAATTAAAAATTTCAGGTGAAAAAGCTTCAACTGATACTGAAGTTGCTGAACAATTTGCAGATGAATGCATTGAACTCATTACTAGTGAACAATTGTCTCCAGAAAAAATTTACAACGCTGATGAAACTGGTCTTTTCTGGCAATATGTACCACAAAATACCTTGGCAACCTCTACAGAAAAGGCTCCAACTGGTGTCAAAGATTCCAAAGCGAAACTAACAATTTTAGCTTGCGCAAATGCTGCAGAAACGCACAAGTGCAAACTTTTCATAATTGGAAAACATGCATGACCTCGAGCATTTAGAGAAGTAACAATTTTCCCCGTTATATATCACGCAAATAAATTAGCATGGATGACACAAGCGCTGATGAATGATTGGTTTGAAAATCATTTTACACACGACGCTCAGCAACATCTGAATTCGGTTGGTTTACCTGATGACTCAAAAATAGTCCTGATTGTTTCACAACTGGTCGGCGCATACTTAAAGTTTTAGTGAAAGATAATGTATCCGTATTATTCTTTCCTCCAAATTGCACGTCTATCATTCAGGCTATGGATATGGGAATAGTGCATCCGCTGAAATGCAAATATAAAGTAGCATTTTAAAAATCTATGTTAAATTTCTTGAACAATAGCAAGCCTATTCAAGACTTTTTGAAATTGTTTAGCATAAAATCTGCTGTGTGGAGCATCGTAAAATCGTGGGAAGATGTGTCTCCAGATACGTTAAAAAATGCTTGGCATAATTTATGGCCAGCCACCATATTTCATGGTGAGAACGATAAAGATGATAGCCGCGAATTTGAAAGTTTTCGGACATCGCAAACTTAACGTGAAATTTTCCAGTTATTGGATTTTGTAAAGAAATGTGGAGAAGTGGTAATAAATGAAGATGATATAACAGAAGTTTTTCATTGCGACGACAATGTCCCAATCATCAATCCATTAACGGATGGCAAAATCTGTAGTAAGGTTTTAGATCCAGAAAATGCCGCTTCCGATAATGAAGAAAGTGACAGAGGTTATTGAAAACAAAAAAATTTCGATTGACAAGTTAGTCGGTATTCTCGACACAGCAACTACAGGACTTGAACAGTGGAACTTTGTAACTGAACAAGAAATAATGTCTGTTTATAGAAGTAAAGAAAAAGTATTAGCACAAAAAACGAAGCAACTTAAACAACTTACATTGAAAGAAATGTTTAATAAAGTAAACAAATAAATATTAAGCTTTTTAATTTAAAATAAATATTAAGCTTTTGTAAATTTTGATACCCTTTAAATCATAATTGCTCTTTATTTCATAAATTATGGTTTCATATTTTTAATTGTATAATTCCTGCATGCCATCTTACTAGATTTAAACTAATGATCTATAATCCGGAAAAACCTCTAATCTGGAATCGCCGAAGTCCCGACGAGTCCGGATTACGGACTTTTTATTGTATAATAATTTCACTTCAATAATCTATTTTATAAAGACATCAAGAGACAGTTCAGAAATTTTCTTGCAGAAATGTGCAAAATTTATTCTAGCTTTCATTACTCTTTCAAATTCGTATTGTTTGAACATGGGACTAATTTACATGTTTTAAGCGAAGAAAAATAGGTTCACAAATTAGGGACAAGTCCCATATAGCTCACCACTGCTTAAAGGGATGTAAGGGTGTGTACAACTCTTCAATAAGAATGCAATACATTTTATTATAGTTCCAACATGAACTGAAAAGAATAACACCAAATTCTAAAACATAAGGTTATAAGTTTTTGTAAATACATCAAATAAAGTAGCAGTATGCAGACGACCAAAAACCTTTTAAAACAACCTACCACAAATTATATCTAATCATTATTTTACTACGCATGCAAAGATTTCCTGAACTTTTGTGATATAAAAAAGGTAAAGAATTTTGGTTAAAGTTAAATGAAAAAATTCTGTTTTTTGTAAAGAATCATAATAAAAAAAATACTTTACTTACTTAAACAAATACCATATTTACTTATGTATTCCCCACTTTTTTTTACTAATTTTATCACACAAAAGTCAAGGACGGAAAATTATGTGAATAATTTAATTTTTGAAGGATGCAGTTACACTAAGAACATAGCAAATATAAACCATGTAAGGTATTTATTTATTTTATTTAACCAGCTAGTTTAAGTTCAGAATCTATACTGTCTTTACTCCCTTTCCATTTTCCAACCAGAATGCAAATTTTAGTTCGCAATGAAATTTGATTAAAAGCTTATTTTATTTTAATAACAGGAATCATAATTCTTAATTTTTTTAAGAACTGAAAAGAAAAAAAAAATGTGACATACAGTCGGTGATCGGTTAACGAGCATAATCTGTTACAAGACTATGTTCGCTATCCGAATTGTTCATTAACCGATCATTGATTTACCATAGATTTTTTTTTTTTTTTTTTTTTTTTTTTTTTTTTTGGGTGCTTTTCCGTTTTGCCGGCACAAGTGATAAAGTTGCCAAAAATGGTATAACTGATGCCAAACGGAATATCCTCTCTGGCAACCTTTCACACCTCATTTTCAAAATAAGTCGCAGCCATTTCTTATCAGATTGATTATATCTTTCGATACTGGCATACAATTACATAGAATTTTTACCAGATAGTTCAATTTTATGCCCTAAGACCATTTGCGGTAATTAAGTCAATTAGGATGCAATCACACAGCTCACCGAAGGTGAAAATATAGAAAAGGCAAAGTCAAGGGTTAAATTCATCAATTCTAATGAGAATGCACTAGCGAAGTAAAGCACTGCGGTTTTACATAATTTCTGAGTAAGCTATTCGTACGAATTGAAATAATTCTTGCATTTAAATTTGTATTCCAAATTAAGATTTAACTTGAAATTAAGGTAGATAATTACTAAGAGAATAAGATTTTTATAGCGTAGTTTACGTGAGATGAGATCACTTGGGGTCATGTGATATGAAATGACCCAGCGATCATGTGACAGCGAATCAGGATGTTGTACTATGAAAGCATAGTAAATTCTTAATTTAATGTCTTTTTACAAATTTATAGTCTTTATTTATTGTCTTTTTACAAAATTTTAACAATATTAAAACTTTTAAGCCTTCAAAAAAAAATTTATTAGAACTAACATTTGTTAACATTTTTTATGTGTATACTGTGTGTTGTCGCCACTAAAGTCTGCTTGGTGAGATTTGCGGCAGCGAAATGGAAAAGTACCATTTTTTGTGTGTGTGAAATCAATTCATTCGTTCTGGAGACCCTAAAAATTAAATTAAAATAAAATAAAAAATGTATAATGTCTTAGTAAGTTTATTAAAAAATAATACATACATATATTCTTGCACATTAATCAGTCCTTTTCATTTTTTGCTTATGGAGAGTTAAAGAACATGTCCAATGTCGATTACTTTTCTCTCTTTTTCACGATTTTCCAGAAGTGATTAACAGCATTGTCGTTGTAAAGATTCCCAACCCTACTGACATCAGGTTGGTTCGAGTGTCATTCTAAGACCATTGCTCTGACATCCTCGCACTTCTTCAAAAGATCTTTAATGGCAGATGTCAGCACTGGTCCTCTTTTGTCTTTCCTCTTGTTCAGAAGGAGACACATTTCACTGTGTTTTTTGGTGTTCTTCATTCAAGATTTGTTGGAGTTCTGTCGTCAGTTCATCTTCATGTTCCATTATGAGCTCTTCTATGTCATCCTCATTCACCTCCAATTCCAGATCTCTAATGGACATGGCTTTCACCAAGCAGAAATCAACTGTCGCTGCATGACTTCTGCCCACGCCTTTTGAATGATACGCATAGCTTCAAGAATGTCAAACTTTTCTTTCCAAACTTTTTAAAGTCATTGTTGTGGAGAATCGGCATGCTTCAAAACACCGATGAAACAGCGCATGAGTGTACAATTTCTTAAAACCCGCAATAACCTCCTGATCCATCAGCTGAATCAGCGAAGTCGTATTCGGAGGTAGAAACTGAACTGTCGGCCAGGGAAAGTCTGTCAGCAAATTATCCTCAAGGTCGTTTGGGTGTCCTGGTGCACTGTCCAGTAGTAGAGTGCTTTCAGTGGCAAGTCACTAGTATCAAGGTAGTCCTTGATACTCGGGGCACAAACTTCAAACAGCCATTCTTTGAAAAGAGCCTGCGTGACTCATGCCCTCTAATTGGATCTCCACATTACTGGAAGTCTTCTCTTGATTATGGAATTTTTTTTGAATGCTCAAAGATTCTCAGGGTGGTAAACGAGAAGTGGTTTAAGCTTCATATCACCACTAGCGTTAGCTCCAAAAAATAACGTCAATCGGTCTTTCATGGATTTATGCCCTGTAACACCTTTCTCATCTTTCATGATGCAGGTATGGTTCGGCATGTGCTTTCAAAACAAACCAGTTTCCATCACAATTAAATATTTGTTGTGGATGATACCTTTCTGTTTGAATGAATTCTTGAAATTTGAGACAGTACTTCTCAGCTTCTTCTTTAACTGCACTAGCAGACTCACCATGCATTAATACATGTTTAATTCTAGACCTACTTTTAAACTTTGCAAACCAGCCAGTGGTAGCCTTGAATTCTAACTCCTTGGATGACGAACCTGGAGTTTCTTTCAATTTCTCAAAAAATTCTCTAGCCTTTATTTGAATGATAGTCATACTAGTCACATCTATTTTCATTTCCCGTTCATTTATCCAAACTAAAAACAATCTCTCCATTTTTTCATAAATGGCACTTTGCTTTGCAGTTGTGACTTTCGTTACTCCTTTAGCTGCTTGAGTCTTCTTGATGATATCTTTCTTAGCTAAGATTGTGCATACTGTCTTGCAACATCAGCCAACTTCTGTCCACTCTCTACTTTGGCTTCGTTTTTATGGTAAGCACAGTTCTTGACACTCCACTCTTTTTGACCCATAAAATTGTCAGATTTTAATTTTTTTTACAAAGAGTTCAGAAAAGCACATACGAAAATTTAGAGGAACAGAAACCAACTAGCGTACACAATTAACAAAGTTTCAGTGCACACTAGCTATGCTGCGGTATGCGACAAAGCGGGAAACTGAGTCGTGCCCTCACAGCTACGTGATATGGTTCACGTTAGCACCGCACGCGTGTTATTACAGTACAAAGTCCAAAATCCGAACTGGTCGGGACTTCGGCAATTTCGGATTTGGGACTTTTCCGGATAATAGATCATTAATTTAAATTTGGTAAGATGGCATGCAGAAATTATACAATTAAAAATATGAAATCATAATTTATGAAATAAAGAACAATTATGATCTAAAGGGTATCAATTTTACAAAAAAAAGCTTAATAGTTATTTGTTTACTTTATTAAACATTTCTTTCAATGCAAAAGTTGTTTAAGATGCTTTCACAAAAAATTCAAAAAGTTCCTTTTTCTCTTTGCTTATGTCATACACAGTTGACTTTCCAATGTCATACTCCTCGCATAATTTTGAGACGGATATGCCTTTATCCATTTTTTGCAGCAATTCTACTTTTTGTTTAATGGACATCGAAACATGGTTTTGCTTTGTAGATCCTTTGGCAACTCCAGAATTGGAAACTCTTTTTGACATAATCGAAATTTCAAGCTTAGTTTTTATAAAATTGCCGTAATAATAAGAGTCTGCAAAAAAATAATAAGCTGGATCAAATTAGAAGATCACGGAGCAGCGCAGTCTGCTACATTAATTGAAATGCCTTAGAATCAGTAAAGATAATTTTAGCCTAGCTTAATAGCATCCGTTATACATTATTGGCTGTGTATCACAAGATTGGCGATGAAAGCCACGTTGTTTCGTTAAATTATGTCTTGCTCCTATTGTGACTGAATTAAGCCTGAATTGTATTAGTTATTTACTATACGTTTATTTCTTGCACATGCTTCACACTAATCAGAGTCCTGAATAAATAAACTCCCACATATACTTAAGACTTTATCTAGGGCCAGCGCTCGATACCACCTGGTGCAGTCTCTACGGGTCCTAAATTCTGCTACAAAGTGCTTTCCTAAGTTCTAAATTTCCACCGTGCCTAAACTTTGGATCCCAGTGCTTTCCCTAAATCATAAAAACTTCTCATCCCTTAATTTTGCCACTTGGTGTTTCCCCTAAATTTCAAAAATTTTGTCTTCCCTAAATTCTGCCGACGCTTCTAGGTTTATGGTGAATAACATATCAGTTATTCTTAATTAAAACAGCACTAAATGTAATCTTTTGGCCTATGCGTTTCATTAACAAAATCTATTTTTAGCAAATGAAAAGAAATTTTTGCTGAATTTTCCTTGTCAACATTTCTTAGAGAATTTAAAATCTATAACCATCGCCAAGCATAATGTTAGCATAAAAGGTTCCATACTCTTGTCTCATTCTAAAAAAAAAGTTTAACACACGCTGTTATACTGAACTGTCATTATTGTAAACTCGGTATGAAGAAAATATACCCAGGTTGCCGTAATCACGTACTTGTGAGTTTAGTTGAGAGTGGCAAAAGCATAACCAGCATGGACCAAGTACTGCGTTCAAGTTTCGAGGGGTTCGAGGGGCCGTTCTAATTCTAAGAGGGGGCGTTCTTAGTCTTCGAGGGGGCATTCTAAGTCTTCGAGGGGCGAGGGGACATTCTAAGTCTTCGAAGGGATTCTAAGTTTTCGAGGGGGCATTCTAAGTCTTCGAGGGGGCGATCAAAATCTTCGAGGGGTGCGTTTTAAGTCTTCGAGGGGGGCGTCATAAGTCTCCGAGGGGGGCATCCTAAATCTTCGAGGGGGCGTGCTAAGTCTTCGAGGGGGGCGTTCTAAGTCTTCGCGGGGGCGTTCTAAGTCTTCGAAGGGGGCGTTCTAAGTCTTCGAGGGGGCGTTCTAAGTCTTCGAGCGGGGCGTTCTAAGTCTTCGAGGGGGCGATCTAAGTCTTCGAGAGGGGGCGTTCTATGTCTTCGAGGGGACGTTCTAAGTCTTCGAAGGGGGCGTTCTAAGTCTTCGAGGGGGGCGTTCTAAGTCTTCGAGTGGGGGGCGTTCTACGTCTTCGAGGAGGGCGTTCTAAGTCTTCGAGAAGGGAATTCTATGTCTTCGAGGGGGCATTCTAAATGTTCAAGGGGGCGTTCTAAGTCTTGGAAAGGATTCTAAGTCTTCGAGGGGGCGTTCTAAGTCTTCGAGGGGGGGGCGTTCTACGTCTTCGAGGAGGGCGTTCTAAGTCTTCGAGAAGGGAATTCGAAGTCTTCGAGGGGGCATTCTAAATGTTCGAGGGGGCGTTCTAAGTCTTGGAAAGGATTCTAAGTCTTCGAGGGGGCGTTCTAAGTCTTCGAGGGGGGCGTTCTAAGTCTTCGTGGGGACGTTCTAAGTCTTCGAAGGAGGCGTTCCAAGTCTTCGAGGGGGCGTTCTAAGTCTTCGATCGGGGCGTTCTAAGTCTTCGAGGGGGCGATCTAAGTCTTCGAGAGGGTCGTTCTAAGTCTTGGAGGGTGGCGTTCTAAGACTTCGGGGGGCGTTCTAAGTCTTCGGAGGGTGCGTTCTAAGTCTTGGAGGGGGGAGGGGACATTGTAAGTCTTCGAAGGGATTCTAAGTCTTCGAGGGGGCATTCTAATTCTTCGAGGGGGCGATCAAAGTCTTCGAGGGGGGCGTTCTAAGTCTTCGCGGGGGGCGTTCTAAGTCTTCGAAGGGGGCGTTTTAAGTCTTAGAGGGGGCGTTCTAAGTCTTCGAGCGGGGCGTTCTAAGTCTTCGAGGGGGCGATCTAAGTCTTCGAGGGGGGGCGTTCTATGTCTTCGAGGGGGCCGTTCTAAGTCTTCGGGGGGTCTTCGGGGGGCGTTCTAAGTCTTCGGGGGAGGCGTTCTAAGTCTTGGGGGGAGGGTTCTAAGTCTTCGAGAAGGGAATTCTAAGTCTTCGAGGGGGCATTCTAAATTTTCGAGGGGGCGTTCTAAATGTTCGAGGGGCATTCTAAGTCTTGGAAAGGATTCTAAGTCTTCGAGGGGGCATTCTAAATCTTCGAGGGGGCATTCTAAGTCTTCGAGTGGGCATTCTAAGTCTTCGAGGGGCGAGGGGTAAGTCTTCGAAGGGATTCTAAGTCTTCGAGGGGGCATTCTGAATCTTCGACTGGGTATTCTAAGTCTTCGACGGGGCGTTCTAAGTCTTCGAAGGGGGCGTTCCAAGTCTTCGAGGGGGCGTTCTAAGTCTTCGAGCGGGGCGTTCTAAGTCTTCGAGGGGGCGATCTAAGTCTTCGAGGGGGGGCGTTCTATGTCTTCGAGGGGGGGGTTCTATGTCTTCGAGAGGGGCGTTCTAAGTCTTGGAAAGGATTCTAAGTCTTCGAGGGGGGCGTTCTACGTCTTCGAGGAGGGCGTTCTGAGTCTTCGAGAAGGGAATTCGAAGTCTTCGAGGGGGCATTCTAAATGTTCGAGGGGGCGTTCTAAGTCTTGGAAAGGATTCTAAGTCTTCGAGGGCGCGTTCTAAGTCTTCGAGGGGGGCGTTCTAAGTCTTCGGGGGCGTTTCTAAGTCTTCGAGGGGGCGTTCTAAGTCTTCTTGGGGGGAAGGGGACATTCTAAGACTTCGAGGGGGCGTTCTAAGTCTTCTAGGGGTCGTTCTAACTCTTCGAGGGGGCGTTCTAAGTTTTCGAGGGGGCGTTCTAAGTCTTCGAGGGGCCGTTCTAAGTCTAAGAGGGGGCGTTCTTAGTCTTCGAGGGGGCATTCTAAGTCTTCGAGGGGCGAGGGGGACATTCTAAGTCTTCGAGGGGGCGATCAAAGTCTTCGAGGGG